CTTTAAAATGGCACTATGGCCTGATCTTATCACCTCTTGCTCTATTCGCCCTATTCGGTTGCGCATGGCCTCAATTGTGTAATAAACGAAGAACTGGCTTCCAGTGCGGTCGATAAAGCAGTATCCAAACGAAAACCATATGTGTGTTTGGAGATATGATTAGCCAAGCAGTGCTTATAGGGAGCAGGTTATCAACAAACCTATTCGTTTGGGTATTGCAACACTGTATAAATTTTAAACCTCATCAGAAGTTGAAAACTATACGATCCTAAACAAAACTACAGCCATTTTAGCAATCGTGTAGGTGGTGAATATTTTCGCCCATTTTTGTTGTTATCGATTCTGTCAACCAATGAATGGCAATAGAAAAATAAAGCACAAGAAATTTTAGTATTCTACTTACAACAATTATGAAATAAAACAAAGATTTAAAAATGGAGATTCAACTAATAAGAACGGGAATTTTTGATCCGAAATTATTAAAACATTACTATCTAACGCACGTTAATTCAGAGACTCCTTAACAAAAAAACATCTACCTGGCTTATATCAGATACCAATAAAATTCTTATAATTTCACACATTCCAAGAGAAATCAATAAAACACCGAATATCCCATTTCCCAATACCCCAATTCCTAATAGAAATATTAGTCACTCAATAATAATAAAACAATATATAACAAAGGCAAAAAAAATAAAGGAACTGTGAAAAATACTTTTACTACTCACGCTGATAAAAGTTGCTAAGCAAGAGTAACAGAAGATTAGCTGTAAATAAAGAGTTTAAACCCAAAAAACAAAAAATAAATCTTTGTACCATCACTAACAATACAATACAAAGATACGTCAAACAGCAAAATAATTGATGCATGATAAATTGATGCGAGTGAGCCCCATGGGTGCTTGTGACCATTTTTTTATGCCCAGAGAGAGTAAAACTGCTGAGAAGGCAGCCAAACACCGGCCTCGAAAGCCGAACGCTCAATACGAAGCCGCATCTCGCCGCGGCTGATGCTTTTTCTTAATATATGTATGTAACTTTTAAATCATATGAAGAGTGTGCTTCGCTCTCACTCAAAACAAAAACCCTTACATCTGCAAACATACATATGTTTGTGATGTGTGGATGTGCGCACCAGAGCCAGAGATTTTTTGTCAATGGGTTGGCGCTTTTTTTTGGGAACCTATTATGTTTAAAATAAAAAAAAATTGAAGTCGTATATCTGAAGGGTTATTCATCTTCGGCTTGTCGAATAATTCTGAAAAAACACCAAAAATTTAAAATGTTCAAATTTAGCGACTTGCTACTTGTGCACACGCTCACACATACAAACATTTACTTCGATGATATGATATCAACGAGAGCATTGAGAGTATGTCTTCTCTTTCAAGTGAGCAGTTGTGTGAAATTATTAAAGGGATTGACCGGTCCATGTGTAAAATTGCTATTTTCCTTGCTTATTGTTGGTAAGGGTACCTGTCATTTGTGCATGAAAACTTTTTGGGCCGGCCAAGCACGCACACTCACACAATTTTCTATATGCCTGCTGGTTGCTTGCCTGTTCGATGCAAATTTGACAAGATTTGACACACACAAGTGAGCGATTGAGCAGATCAAGGGTTTGTCGTGTGCCAGAGATATTTTCTTCGTAAATTTGGGCATGCCTGCTGGGCTTGCGATCGCAAAAGGCACAAATGTGTGAACAGTCAATCAACAGCTAAGTTGATATAGCATTGTCCGTTTGAATGTTTATATGCGAACTTTTTATACCCTTGCAGAGGGTATTAAAATATTGTCGTGAAATGTGTAACGCATAGAAGGAGACATCTCCGACCCCATAAAGTATATATATTCTTGATCAGTATCAACAGCCGAGTTGATATAGCCATGTCCGTCTGTCCGTCTGTCTGTTTCTATCTATCTTTCTATCTTTCTATCGAACTAGTCTCTCAGTTTTAAAGCTATCTTTATGAAACTTTGCCGAAGTGCCTCTTCATATGTCGCAGTTCATATATCAAAACCAGCTGGATCGGACCACTATATCATATAGCTGCCATAGGAACGATCGGTCGAAAAGTAGGTTCTTGTATGAAAACTCGGTATTTATTAGTTTTACTCCGCTCCTCATATATATGCAAAATCCTAATAAGATCGGACAACTATATCATATAGCTGCCATAGGAACGATCGGTCAAAAATTAAGTTTTTGTATTGTATTTCTATGTTTTTCAAGATATTGTGACCAAACTCGGTATTTATTAGTTATACTACGCTCCCCATATATATGCAAAGTCCTATTAAGATCGGACAAGTACATCAGATAGCTGCCATAGGAACGATTGGTCGAAGATTTAGTTTTTGTATTGAAAATTTTTATGTTTTTCAAGATATCTTGACCAAACTCGGTATTTATTAGTTTTACTACGCTCCCCATATATATGCAAAATCCTATTAAGATCGGACAACTATATCATATAGCTGCCATAGGAACGATCGGTCAAAAATTAAGTTTTTGTATGGAAAACTTTTATGTTTTTCAAGATATCTTGACCAAACTCGGTATCTCGGTAGCATTATGAGTCATCAGTGGCATGATAATTAACATCGGAGTACTATAAACTATTTTTGTTTTTGGTACAAGTGGTTGATATTGAATGTGTTCAGAAAAAAAGACTTAAAATGATACGTTTTTCAGCAACCATGGTGCGCTTAAGTCAAATATTCGCAAGCGTTTGTTAAAATTCAGATTTTGTAGTTATATTACAGCAGAATAATTTAATTGCAATACAAAAGATCGGTATTAATTATGTTACCTTAAGCATTTAAAATATAAATAGTTACTCGCGCACTATTCAGTGTTAGAATGAAGTTTTTCAATAGGCAGTACCCAGAGAGACGGCGAAATGAAAAACTGAGAGTGCATGTTTTGTAACATATTTTAAGTAATCGATTTTCGATTGTCGCTGTAAAAACTTCCGCTGAGATGCCCTAAAAATAATTGTCTTATGGAATTAAATTTTAAAATGGTAATCAAGACAGGAGTCGGTTTTGACCCCATAAAGTATATATTTTCTTGATCAGGACGACGAGCTAAATCGATTGAGACACGTCCGCCTCACCTTTTGTCTGTCTGGTGGTATGACATATGTACTATATATACATACATATGTGCATATATTGACTCATATACGTATATAAGTACTAATTCTATTAAAGCCAAACTTGCGATTAAGATGATTTCTTATTGTAAACTTAAAATCAACAGTAAGTAATTAATAAATTTTGTTTAATAATTATTACTATTATTATTATTGAGAACATTATTAATTTATTTATTTGAAGTTTTGTAAAATAAAATCATCATTTATTTTGATGATCTTCATTTCAAAGATAATTAGTTACGCGCCTTACATCCAAAAAAGAGCACAGACATTTTGAGGCGGTGAATTAAAAAATTCAGAGTGCATGTTTTGCAGCGAATTTTAAGTCATCGATTTTCGATTGAGATGCCCCAATAAAAATTGTCCCATGGAATTTAATTTGAAAATGATAATCAAGGAAGGAATCGCTTGTGACCCCATAAAGTATATATATTCTTGATTAGGACGGCAAGCTGAATCGACTGAGGTATATCCGACTACCTGCTTTACTGTCTGGTTGTTTTTATACCCTTGCAGAGGGTATTATAATTTTGTCGTGAAATGTGTAACGCATAGAAGGAGACATCTGCGACCCCATAAAGTATATACATCTATGATCAGTATCAACAGCCAAGTCGATATAGCCATGTCCGTCTGTCTGTTTCTATGCGAACTTGTATCTCAGTTTTAAAGCTATCTTCATTAAACTTTGCAGAAGTGCCTCTTTCTGTTGCACGCAGGACGTATGTCAAAACCAGCTGGATCGGACCACTATATCATATAGCTGCCATAGGAATGATCGGTCGAAAAGTAGGTTCTTGTAAAAAAAACATTTTTGTTTATTAAGATATCTTGATCAAACTCAGCATTTATGAGTTTTACTATGCTCCTCATTTATATGTAAAATCCTATTAAGATCGGATCACTATATCATATAGCTGCAATAAGAACGATCCGTTGAAAATTAAGTTGTTGCATGGAATTTTTTTTTATTTTTCAAGATATCTTGATTAAACTCGGGATTTATTAGTTCTACTGTGCTCCTTATACTTATGCAAAATCCTATCAACATCGGACGACTATATCATATAGCTGCCATAGGAACGATCGGTCGAATAAAAGTATAAACAAATTTTCTGTTCTTCAAGAAATCTTGACCAAACTCGGCATTTATTAGTTTTACTGTACTCGTCAAACATATACAAAATCCTATCAACATTGGACAACTATATAATATAGCTGCCATAGGAACGATCGGTCGAAAATTAAGTTGTTGTATGGAAAACTTTTGTTTTTCAAGATATTTTAACCATACTCGGCATTAACTATTTTCCCTGTGCTTCTTAGATACGGACGAATCCCTATGAGCATTATGAAAAGGTGTGTTCTGCAAGGGTATTAAATCTTCCGCGTGCCGAAGATAGCCCTTCTTTCTCGTTCTCATTTTTAAAGCTATCGTTTTGAAACTTTGTATAGTTTTTTAATAGTAGGCAGTACATACGTCGAAAAGTCTTGATCAGACAACACTTATCATTTAACTACGATAGGAACGACCGGTCGAAATTTGGATATTTAATAGAAAATATCTTGTCTAATCCCACCATTTACTATTTAGTATATTTTATATTTCCGTAGAAAAAATCGCAAATTTAGTATGTTTTGCAAAATATTCTGTTTCCATAGATTTGAATTTACTGATTAGCTTACTCAAATATTTTTAAAGCCGTTAGCCAAACGTCTATTAGGGTATCAAATCTTTTTAGTATCAAAGTTAGCCGTACTTTTATGTTAGCCACAATTCTTTATAAAAATATACTTTTTCAACAATTTTTAATAAAACTTTTTTTATAGGGACTTTGACGAAACATCAAAAAGCTTTACACTGGAGCTGATTATGAATTTAGATTTTCAGGCATTTTCTGAGGATATACAGGATATTTCTAATGCAGCTACTATGGAGTTACAAATTGAAAACGGAATAATGAATATTGCTGCTATATGGAAAAAACAAGGATTTGAAATGGCATACTCTCGAGATGGAATTTACCGGATCAAAAATGTTGACGAATGCTTCCAACTACTAGAAGAGCATGTAGTTCAAATATCCGCCATGAAGGCAACTCGTTTTGTGGAACCTTTTATTGACATTGTAGACTATTGGGAAAAAACATTATCCTATATCAGCGAAACTCTAGAAAAAGCACTTTCAGTGCAACGACAATGGCTATATTTAGAGAACATATTTCAAGGGGATGATATACGAAAACAACTACCCGAAGAAGAAAAACGGTTTGTAGCTATTACAGATGAATTTCGCACAATTACTGCAAAAATGTTTGAGGCAAATACTGCCGTAAAAGCAACTCACCTTCGCCCACCCCCTTTTGTATTAAACCGGTTTAACCGCATGGATGAACATTTGGAGTTGATACAACGTGCCTTGGAAATTTATTTAGAAGCCAAGCGTCAGCTTTTTCCTCGATTTTACTTTATATCCAATGATGATCTTTTGGAAATATTAGGGAACGCTAAACGCCCCGATCTGGTACAAACACATCTTAAGAAACTTTTTGACAATTTAAACAAACTTGAACTCAGACGAGTCGGAAAAGCATTGAGTCGCTGGCAGGCTACTGCCATGTATTCTGATGACGGTGAATGTGTAGAATTCTTACAGGTTTTATATATTGATGGTCCTTCAGAGCGCTGGTTGAATCAGATTGAAGACTATATGATAGCAGTAATGAAAGAACAACTAAAATTAGCACGAGGATCTTTAAAGAAGCTTATTGGCAATCGCGAGAAATGGATATCTTTATGGCCGGGACAGATGGTTCTAACCACGGCACAAATACAGTTTACGACCGACTGTACCCGCAGTCTCATTCACTGCAAAATGGTTGACCAGAAGAAACCACTTCGAAAACTTAAAAGAAAGCAGATAAAAGTGCTAATGAAACTATCTGAAATGAGTCGCAAGGATTTATCAAAAATAATGCGTCTGAAAGTAAATACTCTCATCACACTCGAGATACATGGTCGGGATGTTCTGGAACGCATGTACAAAGCTAACTGCAAGGATATTGGCCACTTTGAGTGGTTTTCACAATTACGATTTTATTGGCACCGCGAGTCTGAATTGTGTGTAATTAGACAGACAAATACGGAACAATGGTATGGGTACGAATACACTGGTAATTCTGGGAGATTAGTTATAACACCATTAACTGATCGATGCTATATAACATTAACTACAGCCCTTCATCTTCATCGAGGTGGAAGCCCGAAGGGTCCCGCGGGTACAGGAAAAACTGAAACAGTAAAAGATCTAGGAAAAGCCATTGGCCTATGGGTTATAGTAACAAACTGTTCCGAAGGTTTAGACTATAAGAGTATAGGTAAAAATTTCTCTGGCCTTGCACAGAGTGGCTGTTGGGGTTGTTTTGATGAATTCAATCGAATAAACATTGAAGTGCTGTCAGTTGTTGCTCAACAGATAATGTCTATAATGGCAGCTCTATCAGCAAAACTAAAAGAATTTGTTTTTGAAGGTCAGACAATAAAATTAAAAAGTACCGTCGGACTATTTATTACCATGAATCCTGGTTATGCTGGTAGAACTGAGTTGCCAGATAACTTAAAGTCTATGTTCCGGCCAATTTCCATGATGGTACCGGATAATATTATTATTGCAGAAAATCTGCTCTTCTCCGACGGTTTTACAAATACAAGAAGTCTTGCAAGAAAGGTTTATACCCTTTATGAATTAGCTAAGCAGCAGCTGTCAAAACAGTATCATTATGATTTTGGTCTTCGTTCCATGGTTGCATTATTACGCTATGCTGGGCGCAAACGTCGACAGCTGCCCAATACGAACGAAGAGGAGATAGTCTACCTCGCCATGAAAGATATGAACGTTGCTAGATTTACAGCCGCTGATTTACCGTTGTTTACTGGAATAATGTGTGATATATTTCCAGGAGTTAGTCTTCCACAGATTGACTATAGTGATTTTAATGTTGCTATAATTGAAGAATTCAGAGACAATGGTCTTCAAGCTATACAAATTGCTGTAAAAAAGGTTATTGAACTGTTTGAAACCAAAAATTCTAGACATTCAGTAATGATTATAGGCGATACTGGAACAGCGAAATCAGTTACGTGGCGAGCATTGCAAGGCGCATATTTCAGAATGAATGCCCAACGTTTTCAAGGCTGGGAGTCCGTCGCTGTGCATCCTGTCAACCCTAAAGCCCTTAATCTAGCTGAGTTGTACGGGGAGTATAATTTAAGTACAGGAGAGTGGCTAGATGGCGTACTGAGTTCTATCATGCGAATTATTTGCGCGGACGAGGACCTAATGCAGAAATGGCTTTTATTTGACGGACCGGTTGATGCTGTCTGGATTGAAAATATGAACTCTGTGATGGATGACAATAAGCTTCTAACGCTTATTAATAGTGAACGAATAACAATGCCGCCACAGGTTTCATTGCTATTTGAGGTAGGTGACTTAGCGGTTGCCTCTCCTGCTACTGTATCACGCTGTGGCATGGTATATAATGACTATAACGACTGGGGTTGGAGGCCATACGTCGATGCATGGTTACAGAAATTAAAAATCAAGGCATATTCTGAATTTTTGCGCATTCATTTTGAGTCAATCTTGCCAAATTTGCTTGAGTATAAACACGTCCGTTGCAAAGAACCAGTAAAGACAAACGAATTAAATGGAGTTATGTCTTTGTGTAAGCTCCTTGAGGGGTTTGGTACGAAACAAAATGGTATTAACCCACACAACTTAGAATCATTGGAAGAAATGACAAAACTTTGGTTTATGTTTTCTTTGGTTTGGTCCATCTGTGCAAGTGTTGACGAGGACAGTCGATTTAAGCTCGATACTTATATACGTGAAATTGAAAGTTGTTTTCCAATAAAAGACACTGTGTATGATTATTATGTAGATCCCAACGAAAGAACATTCGTACCCTGGGAGAGTAAGCTGTCGGATACCTGGCGCTATGATGAGAGGTAATTCATACTTATAAGATATATTTTACACCTAATAATTTTTTTACCTTAGTTCTCCATTTTATAAGATTATTGTACCTACTGGAGACACTATACGCTATGAGTATATCGTATCAAAACTTCTTGTTGAAGAACATCCAGTGATGATAGTTGGAAATGTTGGAACAGGAAAATCATCGACGGCAACCAATGTAATGGAAGCTTGTGATAAGAATAAGTTTTGCGTGCTTTACGTTAACATTTCGGCCCAAACTACAGCAGCCGGATTGCAGGCTACAATTGAAAATCGGACCGAAAAGCGCACCAAAACTCAATTTGTACCTTTTGGTGGAAAACGAATGATATGCTTTATGGATGACTTTAATATGCCTGCCAAAGACACGTATGGGTCACAGCCCCCTCTTGAACTTATAAGACAATGGATCGATTATAAGTACTGGTTCAACCGCAAGACTCAGCAAAAAATATATGTCTTAAATACACTACTCATGGCAGCGATGGGGCCGCCGGGCGGTGGACGTCAAGTTATCTCTCCGCGAACTCAAAGTCGATTTGTACTTTTAAATCTTACTTTTCCAACTCATGAAACAATAACACGTATATTTGGTACAATGCTCAAGCAAAAACTTGAAGGATTTACTAACGATGTTCGCGAAATGTGGTTGTTACTTACTCAATCAACAATATATCTTTACACTGCAATTATTGGAAGAATGCTACCAACTCCTAATAAGTCACATTATCTCTTTAACCTTCGTGATATTTCAAAGGTATTTCAAGGACTACTCAGGGGTTCTATGGAACTACAAACGACAAGGTCACTTTTTCTTCGTCTTTGGATTCATGAGTGTTTTAGAGTATTTAGTGATAGACTTGTTGATGACTCAGATCAAGAGTGGTTTGTCAACACAATAAATGAAACCCTAGGAGAATATTACGAGGTCACTTTTCACAGCCTATGCCCATCAAAACAGTCTCCGCTCTTTGGGGAGTTTGCTCATCCACAGGGATTCTATGAAGACTTAAAGTTGGACACATTGCGCACATACATGATAAACCAATTAGAGGAGTACAATAATTTTCCTGGAATGGCTCGTATGAATTTAGTTTTCTTTAAAGAAGCCATTGAACATGTAGTTCGCATAATTCGCGTTATATCTCAGCCGCGCGGTCATATCCTAAATATTGGTATAGGAGGATCCGGTCGTCAAGTGCTAGCAAAACTAGCTGCCTTCATTTTAGAAATGGGAATCTTTCAAATTGAAGTTTCAAAAAAATACAAAGTCGGCGATTTACGTGAGGACTTAAAAGCCTTATATAAAGTAACGGGCATTAAGCAAAGGCTAACCATTTTTATTTTTAGCAGCGAACAGGTAGCTGAATTGTCATTCTTAGAAATAATAAACAATATGCTTAGTAGTGGAGAGATAAACTTATTTAAATCTGATGAGTTCGATGAACTAAAATCCGATTTAGAGCGTCCCGCAAAAAAGGCTGGAGTTGAACTAAATACGGAAGCGCTGTATACATTTTTCATGTTGAATATAAGAGATTTTATGCACATAGTTTTGTGTTTTAGCCCCATTGGAGAAAACTTCAGAAACTACATACGTCAATATCCAGCTCTGTTAAGTGCAACCACTCCCAACTGGTTTAGATTGTGGCCGCAAGAAGCATTATTGGAAGTCGCTTGTCATTTTTTGAAGGGTTTTCAACTTAATATTCCCGTTCCTGGAAAAGATGATAAGAAAGATCGCGATAGTTTGGTCGAGACGACTGAAAATGTCCTACATCGTGATATTCCGCATGCATTTTCAATTATGCATTCTAGTGTTGCAAAAATTTCACAGCTTATGTTAGAAGAAGTAAAACGATATAACTATGTTACGTCACCAAATTATTTGCAGTTGGTAAGCGGTTTTAAAGAGCTCCTTGAAAAAAAAAGGTTTGAAGTATCATCCGCTGCCAATCGCTTACGTAATGGGTTATCCAAGATTGCAGATACTCAAGAAAAGGTGACATTGATGTCAGAGGAGCTTAAAGTAAGTTCAGAGCAGGTAAAATTGCTGGCCAAAGAATGCGAAGAATTTATTGCCATGATCGAAATTCAAAAATCCGAAGCGACAGAGCAAAAAGAGATTGTAGACGCAGAAGCAGTAATTATAAAGCGTGAAGAAATAATATGTTTAGACTTAGCAGCAACTGCTCGCGCTGATTTGGAAGTTGTTTTGCCTATGATTGATGCAGCAGTAAAAGCTTTAGATGCACTAAATAAAAAAGATATTGCTGAAGTAAAGTCCTATGGTCGTCCACCTATGAAGATTGAAAAAGTAATGGAAGCCGTACTGATATTAATTGGAAAGGAACCAACTTGGGAGAACGCGAAAAAGGTACTTAGTGAATCTACCTTTCTGAATGATTTAAAAAATTTTGATCGAGATCACATCTCGGAAAAAACACTGAAGCGAATAGCAATGTACACTAAAAATCCAGAATTGGAACCAGATAAGGTAGCTGTAGTTTCAGTTGCATGTAAGTCATTAATGCTGTGGATTATGGCTATAGAGAACTACGGTAAAGTATATCGAATTGTTGCACCAAAACAAGAAAAATTAGATAATGCCATGAGGTCGCTGGAAGAAAAACAAGCGGCATTGGCTGCAGCTAAAAAAAAACTTGAAGAGCTGCAAGCGGTAATAGAAGAACTTTATCGACAGCTCAATGAAAAAACCGAATTACTTAATGAATTACGTGCAAAGGAAGAACGTCTACGGAAGCAACTAGAGCGTGCAATTATTTTAGTTGAATCACTGTCAGGAGAGCGTGAGCGTTGGATAGAAACTGTAGCTCAACTAGACGTCGCTTTTGAGAAATTACCTGGAGACTGTCTTTTATCTATTGCATTTGTAACTTACTTAGGTCCATTTGACACAAAATATCGTGAAGATCTCTTAAACAAATGGAGACAACTAATAAAAGATTTAGTTATTCCAGCCACGTCTGAACTGAAATTAACAGTCTTTCTCTGCGATGCCGTTTCTATCCGAGAATGGAATATTCAAGGACTTCCGTCTGATGACTTAAGTACGGAAAATGGAGTAATTGTAACTCAGGGCAGTAGATGGCCGCTGATTATTGATCCTCAAATGCAAGCGAATAATTGGATTATGAAGATGGAGGAACATAATCAGCTAATTATTATAGATTTGGGTATGACTGATTATCTTCCGCAAATGGAACATTCTATTAAAGAAGGGATTCCTGTATTGTTGCAAAATGTTGGAGAAACCCTAGACCAAGCTATATACCCAATCCTTCGCCGAAATTTTACAATTCAATCTGGGGAAAAACTAATAAAATTTAATGACAAGTACATATCATATAACGATCAATTTCGATTTTACATTACTACAAAAATTTCGAATCCCCACTATCCACCTGAAATATCATCAAAAATGACGATTGTTAACTTTGCATTAAAACAAGATGGACTGGAAGCTCAACTATTGGGTATTATTGTAAGAAAGGAAAAACCAGCGTTAGAAGAACAAAAAGATGATTTAGTTATGACCATTGCACGTAATAAACGTACACTTATTGATCTTGACAATGAGATTTTGCGTTTATTAAATGAAAGTAGAGGATCCCTTCTTGATGATGACAAATTATTTTCTACATTGCAAAAGTCACGACAAACATCCGTCCTGGTTAAAGAATCCCTTAGTATTGCTGAAGTCACAGAAATAGAGATAGACGCAGCCCGCCAAGAATACAAGCCTGCTTCTGTACGCGCTGCTATTTTATTTTTCGTTTTAACGGATATGTCCAAGATTGACCCAATGTATGTTTTCTCTTTGGCGGCTTATATTTTACTGTTTACGCAATCCATTGAACGTAGTCCACGAAATCAGCTGGTACATGAGCGTATTCACAATATCGATGAATATCATACATATTCTGTTTATCGAAATACTTGCCGTGGACTTTTTGAAAGGCATAAGCTTCTTTTTTCAATACATATGACAGCAAAAATACTTTCAAATGCCGGAAAGCTGGTCGAAGAAGAGTATGATTTTATCTTGAAGGGTGGAATTGTTTTAGACAAGCAAGGACAGGCGCCTAATCCAGCAAAATGTAAATAATGATAATTATCCTTTAGCAATGGTGTAACAATTTTATTACTTATGTGTAATTCATTTAGGTTATAAATAGTTACCCTACACATTTTATTTAATAAAGCTAGTTTAGTAAGAGTCGTCATTCTATCCACTTTTTTCGTAAGAGTCAAAGAGTTTAATATAACAAAATTAAAATAGAGACCCTTATTTTAACAAATTTTGCCTAAATATATGTTACTATTTACAGTCCAAATACAATTATACATAAATTCGAGCCAAACTCGTTAAAATGAGATCCATATATATTTAGGGAATTTAATCTCCGAATATAACTGCTCCTTCTTCTATTTTACCGTTCAACAGGGTGGATCAGTGAACAAAATTAATACAATATATTTGAGCTGGACAATATTATGTATTTTATATAATAAAGAAAAGTTTATATATCGACATATCCGTCTGATTGTATCTAGACTAAACTAAACGAATTAGTTAGTCACACTTTTTTATTTGAATTACCAAAATTAAAATTATACATCTATATTATACGCAGGTCCCATTTTAGGAAATTTAGCATTTTACTGTCCAAATACAAGTATACTAATATATATATATAAATATAGGTAATTTAATCTTAGGCATCCCGAAAATAACGGTTATTTTTCTATTTTAACTTTCAATAGGGTGGATCAGTGAACAAAATTGGGACAATATAACTGAGCTGGACAAAATACCAGGTTTTCACGGCATTATAGACTCATTTGAAACGAACTTCAAAGTATGGAACGGTAAGATTAGACTAATACTTTAGTATTAGTATTATTCATAATAATATAAATATTTTCGACTCACAGCCTGGTACGCTACAACGTTCCCAGAACAGGAAGATTTGGTTGGCGAATGGAATGACAAACTTACTGATTTTCAAAAAATTTGTGTAGTACGTTCATTACGACCGGATCGAATTAGCTTTTGTATGACACAGTTTATTATCAGTAAGTTAGGTCCACGTTATGTGGAACCACCAGTCCTTGATCTAAAGGCTGCATTTGATGAATCAATTTCTCAAACACCACTGATATTTGTTTTGTCACCGGGTATCGATCCAACTCAATCTTTAATAGCACTTTCGGAAACTACGAAAATGTCTCAGAGGATGTTTTCACTTAGTTTGGGACAAGGACAAGCACCAGTAGCAACAAAGCTTATAATGGATGGAATAAGAGATGGTAATTGGGTATTTCTAGCAAATTGTCATTTATCCCTAAGCTGGATGCCTACTCTCGATAAAATGATAGCAACTATGCAGTCAATTAAGTTACACAAAAAGTTCCGCCTTTGGCTAAGTTCGAGCCCTCACCCAGACTTCCCTATATCTATATTGGAAACAAGTATTAAAATGACCACTGAACCTCCACGTGGAATTAAAGCTAACATGAAGAGGCTCTACAACAATGTAAATGTTGTGAATATGGATATCTGTAAGGAGCCTAATAAATACAAAAAACTGCTTTTCGCACTTTGCTTTTTTCATACAATTCTCTTGGAGCGTAAGAAATTCCAGCAACTTGGGTGGAATGTTATATATAGTTTTAATGATTCCGATTTTGAAGTGTCTGAAATTTTATTGCTTTTGTATTTAAATGAATATGAAGAGACACCTTTCAGTGCATTAAAATATCTGATAGCTGGAGTAAATTATGGAGGTCATGTTACCGATGATTGGGATCAGCGGCTGCTGTCTACCTATATAAATCAATTTTATAATGATCAAGCGTTAAAAACGCGTAAGTTTCGGTAAGTAATACTAAAACATTTATGCAACCTTTCACTGTGATGCTACACTTTTCTTTAAACATTATTTTATTGACCCTAAGCCTAAGGGATTGCTTCTGAGCAGTGATTAATAGCAATATCGGACTACTGATAATAAAACGATTAGCCGAAAATTAAGTTATTGTGGAAAATCTTTGTTGTTTATTAACATACCTAAACTTGGCATTAAATAGCTTTAAATGTGTGCAAAATCTTTTCGACATCGGACTACTTTGTCATGCAGCTCTAGACGAAGAATCACTCGTAAAATTAATGTTTGTATGGCTATTCTGTTTTCAGATACACTGCGCGTCATCAGATTAGCGCCCCTTACACTCGTTTCTTTTTGCTATCATCATTTTCCTATTGCACACAATATCTGAATTTATTTTTTTTTTCCATCCCGTTATGTGTGTTCTATGACAGGTAAATAAAGCTAGATAGAAGAACAATTATATATTTTTTGCTATTTTGATTTTTTTTCGACGAAAAAGTTTGCTCGATTGCCCCCAAATGCCAATTCAGTTTTCTTGCTTATTTTGGCAGTCACCGTTACCAAATTTGTGCAGTTTAAACTATAAAATATCTTTAAATTAACGCTCAATAATCTTATCTTTGGAAGAAAGATCAAAGACTGAAGTGCACGTCGATTCTAAACTATCGTTTCATAATATTGATAAAAAAAAAATTGGCAGACTCAGAAAAGAATTTCTTGTTTGCTTCGGAATAAGGAAGACTTGAAAAAATCCACCATATCAGTATATTGAACTACTTTATAATTCAATTCCCAATCGAATTTAGGAAGTGATTGTCAACAAAGGCGGTACAACACATTACTAAATTAGTTTCAAAATGCTTAAAAGGTAAAATAGAAGTAAAAAATACAATTTGATCAAATATTTAAAAAAAAAAAATTATCTCAGGGGGTGATGACCAAATTTTCGTTATATTATTTTTGAGGATTTTCTTTCAAATAAAGCATTATTGTTTACACAAGAAGTGTATCTAGCCGTCGGTAACTAACCGTCAATGAAGTTCGCTCTAACTCCGGAACCAGAACAAAAAACCATATGCACCACTCACTTACACTAGTACATTTGTAACCTAAATTCTACTTCATAGTGAACACAACGGGTTATCTTCTACGAAAGAAAAACGTCAACTAGAAGCCTGCGGACGCCCTACTACAATATTTGGTCCTTCGATCCGGATAGAAGTTTCTTCTATAAATTTTCACATATAAGTTCGCCCCAGCAGGCATTGGTAGACCTACAATAAAAGCAAATTCCTGGAGCAATCAAACTAATATAAGATAAGTAGCAGTGTCCATTGCAAAAATTTCGGCAATTCGAGTCCGATTTCATATTTGTGTGCCCACTCCTGTTTTACATATTTTTTTGTTTAAAAATAAAACACAAATATATAATCCGCGGCCTACTGGCATCTAAAAATTTACATAAATTAAAACCAAAAGAAAAAATGAAACCAAAAAGGTCGCCATATTGGAGTCTGTACATATGTACACGGGCATTTTTATGAAACTTTGCAGAAGTCCATCTTTCTGTTGCACGCAGTTCATATGTCATAACCAGCTGGATCGGACAACTATATCATATAGCTGCCATAGGAATGATCGGTCGAAAATTAGGTTCTTGTATAAAAAACATTTTTGTTTATTAAGATATCTTGACCAAACTCGGCATTTATTAGTTTTACTACGCTCCCCATATATATACAAAATCCTATTAAGATCGGACAACTACCTCATATAGCTGCCATAGGAACGATCGGTCGAAGATTTAGTTTTTATATGTAAGATTTTTATGTTTTTCAAGATATCTTGACCAAACTCGGTATTTATTAGTTTTACTACGCTCCCCATATATATGTAAAATCCTATTAAGATCGGACAACTATATCATATAGCTGCCATAGGAACGATCGGTCGAAAATTAAGTTTTTGTATGGAAAATTTTTATGTTTTTCAAGATATCTTGACCAACTCGGTATATCGGTAGCATTATGAGTCATCAGTGGCATGATAATTAACATCGGAGTAATATAAGCTATTTTTGTTTTTGGTACAAGTGGTTGATATTGAATGTGTTCAGAAAAAAAGGCTAAAAATGATACGTTTTTCAGCAACCAAGGTGCGCCTAAGTCAAATATTCGCAAACGTTTGTGAAAATTCAGATTTTGTAGTTATATTACAGCAGAATAATTTAATTGCATATTAAGCATTTCAAATATAAATAGTTACGCGCGCACTATTCAGTGTTAGAATGAACTTTTTCAATAGGCAGTACCACTAACCAAATAACATATAGACCGGACAAACCGTACTTTCGATGGTGACATTCGTTATTTCTGCGACTGGTCCAAACTCGCCTTCGGTTTTGTTCGGGTTCGACACATGCCCGCATGCTCGCAGAGCAACAGAGTAAGAATACATATGGCCTGTGTCGGCGAACGGCAACGCTGTCTTTTTACTCGCTCACTCTACAAGAAACTGCTGTGGCTTACTCTCATCCATATGATTTGTGCGATAGAACGGCATCGCTGTTTTTTATCTCGCTCCCACTACAGGAAACTGCTTTGGCTTACTCTCAGTGCTCTTTCAATTTGTCTATGTACCGTTTAAATGTTTGTGTGTGTATGTGCCCGTACAAGCAAAAATGCCCTCAAATTCAATTTTTCTCAAAAGTCGGTGGCATTTCTTCCCTTTTGAGGGGACGAGTAATATGAAATAATGAAAGGGTTTGCCCCGTCGATGAGAAATTCTTTCATTTTAGCTCGTTCTTCTTCGAAAGGGTACCTAAGCGTTGGCATGTGTGCCATTCACGCATACTTGCGTATTTTGTATATGAATAGAAGCATTCACACATGCCAACGCTTAGGTACCCTTTCGAAGAAGAACGAGCTAAAATGAAAGAATTTCTCATCGACAGAAATAACGAATGTCACCATCGAAAGTACGGTTTGTCCGGTCTATATGTTATTTGGTTAGTGGCAGTACCCAGAGAGACGGCGAAATGAAAAATTGAGAGTGCATGTTTTGCAACATATTTTAAGTAATCGATTTTCAATTGTCGCTGAAAAAAGTTCTGCTGAGATGCCCTAAAAATAATTGTCTTATGGAATTAAATTTTAAAATGGTAATCAAGACAGGAGTCGGTTTTGACCCCATAAAGTATATATTTTCTTGATCAGGACGACGAGCTAAATCGATTGAGACACGTCCGCCTCACCTTTTGTCTGTCTGGTGGTATGACATATGTACTATATATACATACATATGTGCATATATTGACTCATATACGTATATAAGTACTAATTCTATTAAAGCCAAACTTGCGATTAAGATGATTTCTTATTGTAAACTTAAAATCAACAGTAAGTAATTAATAAATTTTGTTTAATAATTATTACTATTATTATTATTGAGAACATTATTAATTTATTTATTTGAAGTTTTGTAAAATAAAATCATCATTTATTTTGATGATCTTCATTTCAAAGATAATTAGTTACGCGCCTTACATCCAAAAAAGAGCACAGACATTTTGAGGCGGTGAATTAAAAAATTCAGAGTGCATGTTTTGCAGCGAATTTTAAGTCATCGATTTTCGATTGAGATGCCCCAATAAAAATTGTCCCATGGAATTTAATTTGAAAATGATAATCAAGGAAGGAATCGCTTGTGACCCCATAAAGTATATATATTCTTGATTAGGACGGCAAGCTGAATCGACTGAGGTATATCCGACTACCTGCTTTACTGTCTGGTTGTTTTTATACCCTTGCAGAGGGTATTATAATTTTGTCGTGAAATGTGTAACGCATAGAAATGGACATCTCCGACCCCATAAAGTATACACATCCATGATCAGTATCAACAGCCGAGTCGATATAGCCATGTCCGTCTGTCCGTCTGTCTGTTTCTATGCGAGCTAGTCTCTCAGTTTTAAAGCTATCTTCATTAAACTTTGAAGAAGTGCCTCTTTCTGTTGCACGCAGTACATATGTCAAAACCAGCTGGATCGGACCACTATATCATATAGCTGCCATAGGAATGATCGGTCGAAAAGTAGGTTCTTGTATACAAAACATTTTTGTTTATTAAGATATTTTGATCAAAATCGGCATGTATTAGGTTTACTATGCTCCTCATTTATATGCAAAATCCTATTAAGATCGGACCACTATATCAAATTTAAGTTGTTGTATGGAATTTTTTTTTATTTTTCAAGATATCTTGAGCAAACTCGGCATTTATTAGTTCTACTATGCTCCTTATATTTATGCAAAATCCTATCAACATCGGACGACTATATCATATAGCTGCCATAGGAACGATCGGTCGAATAAAAGTATAAAAAAATTTTCTGTTCTTCAAGATATCTTGACCAAACTCGGCATTTATTACTTTTACTGTACTCGTCAAACATATGCAAAATCCTATCAACATTGGACAACTATATAATATAGCTGCCATAGGAACGATCGGTCGAAAATTAGGTTGTTGTGTGGAAAACTTTTGTTTTTCTAGATATTTTAACCATACTCGGCATTAACTATTTTCCCTGTGCTTCTTAGATACGGACGAATCACTATGAGCATTATGAAAAGGTGGGGTCTGCAAGGGTATTAAATCTTCGGCATGCCGAAGATAGCCCTTCTTTCTCGTTTTTTTTTTATTCGTTTAACAAATTATATACAATAATTATATGTTAAAAACTTTCCACTGAGCTGCGTTTAGAATAAACGTGTTTCTTTCTGAGCTCAACAATGAATGAATAATAATCATAAATTTTAGCTCGATCCGTTTCCACTACACGGCCGCCCTGTGAAAAGAATATTAATCTATTTTTGGCATTTCAATAAGAAATAATTATAATACTTTTAAATTTTCCGTTTCGCTCGGCGATTATTAAAAATGTCGGCTCTGTAAAGAGCCTAGTATGCCAATCGGTAGTGATCAAAACA